GGGCGCTGGGAGGGGATGGAGGGACTGGGGGCGTGGACACTGCCCTTCTCCCTGAATAGATGAAGAGGGAGAGGCAGAATCTCCTAACACACACCCCCGGCTGCAGGCTTCACGGTGGAGCTCCAGTTGGACTGGCAGAAGCAGAAGGGAGGAGTACGGCGCGCGCTGTTCCTGGCCTCCAGGCAGGCGACCCTCACCCAGACCCTGCTCATCCAGAATGGGGCCCGGGAGGACTGCAGAGAGATGAAGATCTACCTCAGGGTATGGCCTCCAGGGCAGGGTCTGGATGGGCCTGGGGAGGGTGGCTACAGAGAACTAACTGGGGCCTTTCCTGAAGGGAGGGAGATTGGGAGGTTCCAGGCAAAGGCTCAGGACTTTGGTGGAGCTGAGGAGGGGGACCCTCTGCCAGAGCTGGGAACCAGACTGTCAGGGCCTCTCAAGCATTGAAGATGGTCACGTTTGGACCCCTGAATTCTTGAAGGCCCTGAGTGGACAGAAGGAAACATGGCCAGTAAGGGTGAGGGTGGGTGTGGGCTCCATGCCGGCTGGCTGCTGCAGGTAGATGTAGACCCTGCCTACCTCCTGGAGCCGCCCATCGGCTGTCCGCTCCATGAGCAGGGGTGCTCCCACCAGCAAGTCATCCAGCCTGGGGGCAGGGCAACAATCTAGGCATCCTGTCACCCTGCCTGGCCCTCTCCCCTGCCCCAGAACGAGTCGGAGTTCCGAGACAAACTCTCCCCGATTCACATTGCCCTCAACTTCTCCCTGGACCCGCAAGCCCCCGTGGACAGCCACGGCCTCCGGCCAGTCTTACATTACCAGAGCAAGAGCCGCATCGAAGACAAGGCTCAGATCCTACTGGACTGTGGAGAAGACAACATCTGTGTGCCAGACCTGCAGCTGGAAGTGTTTGGGGAGCAGAACCACGTGTACCTGGGTGACAATCTACACTCCCTCTCTCGTGGCCCCCCTGCTTCCCAGGCTCAGATCCTACTGGACTGTGGAGAAGACAACATCTGTGTGCCAGACCTGCAGCTGGAAGTGTTTGGGTAAGTAAGACGAACATCAGGCTGGGGTTTCAGATGCCACGGTCTGGAAGCAGGACACAGGAAACATGGAAGGACCTGAAAAAGTACAACAGCAACGTACTAACTAGCTGTGTGACCTTGGGAAGCTACTCAGATTCTCTGAGTGTTTGCTTCTTCATCCGTGTAGGGGGAATAATAGCCTCTATTTCCCTAGCCTTTTGGAAGAAGTAAATGAAACAATTTACAAAAAGCAGCTAGCCTAGCGCCTGCCATAGAGTTGGAACTGAGTAAATGGTGTCTGCTATTATATCATTATCGCTGTCCTGGTTTGGAGATTAATTCCAGTGTCCCTTACCTTGTGTGCCCGCTCCAGGGAGCAGAACCACGTGTACCTGGGTGACAAGAACGCTCTGAACCTAACCTTCCACGCCCAGAATGTGGGTGAGGGTGGCGCCTATGAGGCTGAGCTTCGGGTCACGGCTCCTCCGGAGGCCGAGTACTCAGGACTCGTCAGACACCCAGGGGTACGAACGGGACTCTCAGGGGGGCTGGGGAGCAGCCCTGCCAGGAGGGCACCAAAACCTTATCTGCACACCCGCCCCACCTGCAGAACTTCTCCAGCCTGAGCTGTGACTACTTTGCCGTGAACCAGAGCCGCCTACTGGTGTGTGACCTGGGCAACCCCATGAAGGCAGGAGCCAGTGTAAGTCTGAGGCAGGAGAGAGGACCTAAGGGGGCAGTGGCCAGCTGCCTTATGTGCCATGCTAAAGTGTTTGCATTGTACCTCACAGGCTGGGGACAGATTTTTAAGCAGCAAGGTGGCAATGGATTTGGGCTCCAGCACCAACTCAGTCTCTCCATCCCGCAGCAAGAACCTCAACAACTCACAGAGCGAAGTGGTTTCCTTCCGGCTGTCGGTGGAGGCTCAAGCCCAGGTCTCCCTGAACGGGTCAGTGTCCAGGGGGAAGGGGGCCTCGCTGGGAGTGGGGAGACTTCTAGGAAAGTGTGCATATAGCGTCCCTTCCACTGTCCTCTAAAACCACCCTCCTTCTTAGTGTCTCCAAACCCGAAGCAGTGCTATTCCCAGTGAGCGACTGGCATCCCCCAGACCAGCCTCAGAAGGAGGGCGACCTGGGCCCTGCTGTCCATCATGTTTATGAGGTGAAGAGGGGTAGAGGCAGGGAAGACTAGGACCAGGAGGGGTGGGGCCACCGTGAATGATAGGGAAGGAGGAGCTGGGATGAGTGACAGATGGCTGGGAGCAGAGTGAGGGACGGGAAGGAGGCATGGAGGGAGGAG